TATAAAAATGGGGTGGGGGGGAGGGGATGCTCATTGGCCATATGTAGAAACAAAAAGTCAGAAGGAGGATCAAATTTCAGAGTAAGAAAAATAAGCATGAGTTTATATTTGTGAAGTTTGATCAACCAATGGAATATTCATGTGCAAATATCCTATGACAGCTGAAGATTTAATTCTGTAGTTCAGAAGAAAGGTCAGCACTAAAGACCTAGATTTGGAAGTCAGCTTTAGAGGTGTTCTAGAATGATCTTACCAAGGTAAGTAGTACAGAAAGACAAAAGGACCAAGGATAGAAGTTCAGAAAATGCCAAATGCCCACAAAGAACTTGGAGTACCCTTTCTTCTGCTAAGTCATTCTTTATTACTCTCATCACTAGGAAAAGAGACAGGTAGTATCTCTTTCATGCTCTGTGTTAATTTGACGTTAAATGAGTTGGTCATATTTACACGGTTTAATCTTTCATTTTTATCTTAAACCACTAAAGCACTGATTAAACTTTTTCTTCATCTTCAAAGTATTCTGTAGTTGTCAAAATGATACAACTTCATTGTATGATTATGTATAATTTACCTCACAAAGGCTATCTTAATAACCCAGATCACTAAAGAAACCCTAAATCAACCCTGGAAATGGCACCCTATTAAGTAACATTCTCCCCTTTAAATTCACACACCAAGGCAAGCAGTGAAGCACAAGGCCTGAATTGTTTTCTCTAGTACTTGTTTAGGATCTGCCTGATTTCATTTAAATTCATGTAGGAAAAAATGTTTGGTATTAAAAAAAAAATCTGGTAAGCAACATTTTGGACAAGAATTTTTTTTTTTGATTCGGGAGGTACCATTTTCAGCAGGACTTTGCAGATAATATATTTTTATTCCATAATCAGAGGACAGTTTATGTTTAGGATAAAAGTAAATTGATGACAAAGAAATATTTCATTTAGACTCACAAATGTCAAACTTAAACACTGAAACAGTGCTTAGATGGACCCACATAAGTATCAATCTTTGCCTCAAGCTTAGTGTTTATGCCCATGGGCCACATGAAAACATGTCTTATTAATCCCTTTTCTGATATTTTTCCATGAATAACAACTCAGAAAAATCTATATTTGCACATATCAGTTAATCATCATCTTGTTCAAATGTGTTAGAACTCTCTGCAAAATAGGGAATATTAGTGTTTCGTAATGTATAAGATATAATGTAAAATACCTGGGTATTAAGAAATTCTTAGAAAATGTCTTGGGGAAAGGGATTCATTGATTATAACTATATATTTTTTTAAATATTTCCATTAATGTAATCAACAGATTATAATAGTTCATGACAATGGAAAGTTCATTTCCTCCCCAAATATCATTTTAATGTCAATGTCTCAGAAACCATTAGTCCTTATAAACTTTTCTTAAAACAAAATGGGGGTATAACACTAACCCAGAAATATTTGTTTTGGCCTATGAAACCATGACAGCATTCTAGTCATCTGTCAGGAAGAAAATAGGTACATTTATGTTTGTGGGCAGAGCACATGTGCTACTCCTTGACCCCAAATCCCTAATATTTGAAAGTGTGAGTAGTGGAAAAAACAAAACAAAACTCTGAATGATCTGAATTCAGCATAGGCTTTCAAAGTTTGGCATTCCAGTTTCTGGGCATATGTGAAGGATTATAACGTGAATATAAAGAGTCATTCCCAAAGGGGCTGTCTTCTTGTCAAGGTGTGTATAAAAAGCGACATTAGCATAATCAGAGCATGTGCACCATTAGACTATTCCCCAAAGTCATTGTATTTCTTGTTTGAGTGAGCTTTACACAGTAAACCACAACAGTATGTTGCAAATAATGATAAAGCAACATCTGGAGAACTAAGACAGTGCAAAAAGCTAAATTACATTTTATTCCTCAGTCATGAAACACAAATCGAGAATTATTCAAATTAAGCTTACCTACTTCCTAAACCTCAAAATTTTAAAATGTAATAGCAAAGGGTAGTTAAAAAAAATGCTAAGTCCAATAGTTCGTAGAAGAGTAGAATCAGAAAGCTGATTGATGTTTATTGGTTTATTGGGGTACTTAGTTGTGGTCCACAAAAATAGCAAAGGGGAAAAAATACTCCCTCTATAGCTTATGCTTATCTGGTGGATATACAAGGATTTCTCCAACTGTTGTGAAATACTTAGCTTTCCCCATTGCCAAAGAATATATACTGATAGTCCATGCCAACAAGGCTTTGAAACAATCTGGAGAAAATACAAGGAGTTCAAAAGAAAAGTCACCTTACGTAGAAGGCTGAAATGTCATACTCTATTATATATATTTAGTTAACAACAGCTCCCCACTCCTGATTGCTCCATGATGTTGTCCCATGAATAATATATATTTTATGTTAAAAATATAAAGCCTTATTTATATGCATGAGTGTGTGTGTGTTTGTCAAAGCATCATGGGCCAATCAGAAGTAGACAACTGCTCTGCCCAAATATAAACATAATAATACCTTACATTTTAATAGTGCTTTACAATATACAAAGCACTTTCATATGTTATTTGATCCTCACAACAACCCTGTGAGGTAGGCAGAATAGGTATTATTATCCCCATTTTGCAAATGAGGGAACTGAGGCTCAAAGAATTTAAGTGACTTGCCCAAGGCCACATGAGTCATAAGTAACAAAGTTGATAATAGAGCCCAGGTCTTTTAACTCCAAGACCAAGGCTTTTTCCAACATACTACAGATTTACTTACAGATGGGAGGGGTGAGGACCAGGGTTGGGGGGTGGGGCTTGTGGGGTGGTGATGATGGTGGTGGGGTTGGGGTATGTGTGTGTGTCTCTGTGTGTGTGTGTCTATGTGTATAGAATTTGCCAGGGTGATTTTGCAAAGCTTGAATAATTAATTAATCAAAATATTGGCTTAGCAAAATATTTCAATAGTTCTAATGAGGTGCTTCTAATATGTAAGGACAGCCATCAGAAAATATATTCATTGTCTCTTAATATTTTTGGTGTTGTATATTGTTGCTATGGGTCATGCATCTTTGTCATGATTTGTGGTTTTTCATATCTAAAGGCTTAATGGGGAGCAAGAGAATATAGGACAGAACATAATCTGATCAAACAAATTCTAAAATATGGTGTAGGTTTGGCCAAGTGACAAATCCAATCTCATACTCTTCCAAAATTAAAAATCAGAACATTCTGGATCTGAAAAGGACCTTAGAAGTCATCAAGCCTTAGACCCAAACTGTATCTTTGTTGTTTTAATCTCACAATATTTATATCACTATTATTTAAATCTCTTCTCTTCTCCCCTCAAAAAAATTAATTTAATCCTACATTTGTCTGAACAAAATTACATGGAATATAAATTATGAGACAGATCAAGAGGAGGGGAGAAACTTTGGTATTATTGATCATTACCTCTTTTGACCAGACCCCCAACCTATAGTTGGAAGGGAAATTAGAGGCTATTTAGTCTTCACCTTTTCAGGTCCCTTCCAATTCCAGGAAACTCTGATAACTAATTACTAAATATTATGAAGACCCATTTGTCACTTTTATCTTATTAACTATCTTTATGAATTTTACAGATATAATAATTTAGTCATCTACACGAATTTGAATGATTTGTATATAAAGCACAAAGATAAAATTCCTTTCTATGTTTATTTCCTCTTCTTGGTTTTAGTAAGCTTATGATACTTGAAAATGAAAAGAAAAAATAAACAGGAAGGGAAAGGACAGGGAAGGAATTAGAATAAGAGAAGGCACCACAGGGATGAGGAGAATACAAAAACAACAAAGATATGAGTGACTGCCAAATAGAGTTGGGTCCAACTAATATTAACTTTGCAGTTTGGAATTTTTTCCTCTTTTATTGCAGAAATTAGTGTTTTCTTTTAAAAAATGCTAACTAGTTAACAAACATGAGGCCCACAGCCAATATTCTCCAATTATACTGATCATATTTTCCTTACCAGTAAACTAATTAGTCTGAAATAGAAACCTTTTTATGATGTTTGATTCTCAGTACAGTATGCAGCATAGAAATGGTTACTAACCACTGAATCCGGGAAAAGAGTTACTCAAACAGTTGCAGAGGTTAATATTTCCTTCTATTGTGGTTTTTCTTCAGTCTGCCCATGCCTCTTCAGCTTCACTGAGTATACAATAACTTTTAAATCATTCATTCTATCTAGGAGAAAAGAGAAACTCTCCAGTTTAAAAAAAAAAAAAAGATAGAAAGAAAGAAGAAAAAAGGCAACAGAGACAACAAACAGTCTCTGCCCTCTGCAACTGTGCACATTTGGTGCTCAGAAGTTGCATACGTAACAGTACAGGCAGCAAATCCCCATGCTCCATCATTTTCTTATGGAGAGAAGAAGAGGGGAGGGCAAAAAGGACCTAGGCATAAAGGTCCACATCAGGGAAGCCTGGTGTTTCAGAAAGATTTCATTCAATGTAATTGAAAGCCCAAGTGGGACAAGAATGAAGAGGTCTGCCATTTCAGCAGAGTGCGGGCTAAAGTCTCACTCTGGGCTTTCCCAAGTCATTCCAGAGAACTGGAAATACAAGGCTCACCTCCATTTAGATGAACACTCCAAGGTACCATCTTTACAAACTTTACACTTTAGTTATTGGGAATGTTTGCATTCATCTGCCTTCAAATAAGATTTAGGAAAAAAAAAACATATTGCAGTAAACTATCATTGTTTGGCTTATTAGGGTATTGTTAATGAAATGGTACCACAGAACTTTATTAAGCATTTTAAAAATATACACAAGGAACAATAGCTTCTTTTTTTCTCTGTATTTTTCAAAATTTGACTTTCTTCCAATCAAAGAACCCAATTTCACACATGAAAAGGGCACTTGTTTCTACAGTGGCTGTGTGCAGGCTTGCTTAGTTTCCAGTACTATTGCCATCCCTTATCATTGCCATTACTTGCGCTTATATATCCAGTTGCCCAGGAAGCAAATTCCAAGATTGCTCATCCCTAACTTGTTCTTTCCGATTCTAATTCTCCATAGAGTTCAGCTAACTTTTTAAACTCTGGCCCCCAGTCACCAAGATAATTATAATCCTGGTCTGAGTGTGTAGTTGCTGAATCCAGGGAGCTGATGGACCCAGCTTCAGATCTATGGCCCTCATATGCATATGTCTGTAGAGAGTCATAGGGAGGGACACTGGGGTCAAGGTCTGCCTCTGCCAGTCTTTGTTTAATAAATTCCTGAACATCTATACTCTCAAGAGCAGACGAAGGCTGGTGTCGGGGTGTAAGCATCACTTCAGGTCGAACATCTCTTCTATATTTCAGCTCCTCAGCAGCGGATGGGTTCCTCAGGGCTGTGATGTCAAAGGCTTCTGTATCTTCCTCCCCACCCCCTTCATCATCGTAAGTGACAACATTTTCCCGCACATCCTCCTCTGAAATGATCAAGGGCTCTTTCTTGCTGCGTCTGAGAGTGATGAAGAGAACCACGATTGCTGAGGAGAAATTGGAAGAAATTCAGAGTTAGGAATATTAAAAGGCTAAAGTTTATACACATGGTCTAGGAATGAGAGAAAGTGAGTTAGGCTATTGGTTTGTTACGTTTTAATAGACCTTACTTAAAGAGATAATCTCAAAAGGAGGTGAGGGAGGACTTAGATTTTTCCTTGTTTCACTGGTTAAAATAGTAGCCTTTCCTCTTTTTTTTTTCTTTCTTTCCTCACTTCACCCTTGCAAATAATGTATCACAATATAACTCAATAATTCTTTGCTCTGTAAGAACATCTCATGAGAACATGTACCCCACGGTAGCTAGTAATAACTAGGCGGCACAGTAGCAATATGGCTGTGCCCGAAGTCAGTAAGAGGTAAGTTCAATTCTGGATTCAGATACTACCTGTATGATCCTCGGAAAGTCACTTAATGTCTGTTTGCCTCAGTTTCCTTAACTATAAAATGGAAATTATAATAATAGCACCTACCTCTCAAGTTTGTTGTAATGATCATATGAAATAATATTTCTAAAGTACTTAGCATAATGCCTAAAGACTTAGCCTTAGGTGCTAAATAAATATGAGCTATTATTTAAGCTTTATGACTTTTAAAGTACTTACCTCACAATCACCACATGAGGTAGATAACATAGCTATAATTATCCCCATTTCATATAATATTCCAGAGGGCAAAGGAGATAGGATTACAACCAAGAATCACCTACCCAGCAAAGCTGAGTATAATCCGTCAGGGGAAAAAATGGTCATTGAGTAAAATAGAGGACTTTCAAGCATTCTTGATAAAAAGACCAGAGCTGAATAGAAAATTTGACTTTTAAATACAAGACTCAAGTGGAGCATGAAGAGGTAAACAGGAAAGAGAAATCATAAGAGACTTATTAAGGTTGAACTGTTTACATTCCTGCATGGAAAGATGATATTTGTAACTAATGAGACCTTTGTCAGTATTAGGGTAGTTGGAGGGAAAAAATTATGTGCATGTATAGATAGATAGATAGATAGATAGATAGATAGAGGGCACAGGGTGAGTTGAAGATGAAGGGGTGATATCTGGAGAATAAAATTAAGGGGTGAGAGATGATTATACTAGGAGAAGGAGAAAGGGAGAGGTAGAACAGGGTAAACTATCTCACAAAAAAACAGAAAAGAAAAGGCTCTTACAGTGGAGGGGAAACGGGGGAAGGTGAGAGGGAATGAGTGAATCTTATTCTCACAGGATTTGACTTAAGGAGGGAATGACATACACACTCAATTGGGTATGGAAATCTGTCTTACCCTACAGGAAAATAGGAGGGGAAGGGGACAAGAGAGTAGGGGGATAATAGAGAGGAGGGCAGATTGGGAAAGGGGGTAACCAGAAGCAAATACTTCTGAGGACGGACAGGGTCAAAAGAAAGAATAGAATTATCTTCATTTCACAGATATAGGAACTGAGATTCTCAGAAATGAAATAATTTATGTAGATGAACCAAACTAACAATTTTGACAGGACTCAAACCCAGGTATTCTGACTCTAACACAATTGCTTTTAGAAACTATGCCATGCTTCCTCTTGGATGCTTCTAGCAGAACTTGTTAAATTTCAAGATTTTGAAGGCCTTTATAGGAATGGAAGATAACCAGAGTGGATTCAGGAGACTTATTCTTATGTGGACGTTGATACTGAAGTCAGGTTTATCCAGAAGCAGCAAACTGATTTATGAATATACTCTTGAGGTTTTTTTTTGTTGTTGTTGTTTGTTGTTTGTTTTCATTTCTGTTTTTGTTTTAATGAATTTAATAACGTCTATGGCAAGGCAGAGGAAAGAGTGATTCCAGAAACTAAGGTTCCTAGACTATCTCCTACCCTGCAGGTCATTCAGAACTTGTAGTAATAACTATATTGACACATTTCCCTTTTTGGTCTCTGATAATATGAATATATACCAGGTATAAATATCAGGTGCTGAAGAGTTGATCACTTACATTTAGAGAAGTTTCCTTCCAAAAATTTCATTACACCAATGAAAACAACAGAGAAATTCAAATAAAAATTAGTATTATATATATATATGTATATATAAATGAATATTATATATATATATATGTGTGTGTGTGTGTGTATGTATATATACATATGTACTGTGAGAAATTATTTTTCTTGGTAATCGATGTCTTGGAGACTTAGAGCCCCCAGCCCCTTTATGAGAAGTTCTTCAGAAGGACATTACTGATAATAAGATTGCATTGAATCTTGTCTGGTCAAACTCCAGCCTAGGCCTGAATTGATTTAGTCTGCTCAGGTTTGGGTGGAGACAGATTCTTCTTGCCTAGATAGCCCAAGACTTGGTGATTTGGTCTAGTGACTGGGTGGTCTGATAGAGAATAGTGATGAAATGATACCAGTCCCAGGTGAAAAGGTATTGTATCAAGATTAAGTGACCTAAGTCAGGTACTCAAGACCTCATTTTAATTTAGCCCACCTCCCAGTGTGTTGATCTTTGTGAATCAGAGTTAATTGGCACCCCTTGGGAACACCTACTCTTCGAAGGTCATATAACCCTGTACCCCCAAATTCCAAAACAAACCAGTTCTGGACTAGCCCCCTTGGGGGAGAGGAGGGGGCTAGTTCTGGACTGTAACTCCCATGCAATGCATGCCAAGTCAACTTAAGAGAAATAAAAATGTGGACACACACACCCTAATCTGTTTGTCTCTTTCTTATAACAAACTTTTTAAATTGGGGTTCGACAGTACATATGTTAATTAATAGAAAAAGTTAAGTTCACTTAATGAATAGAGAGCTGGCCTTGAAGCCAGGAAGATCTAGGTACCAGAACCACCTCTAACAAATACTGACTCTGTATGTAACCTTGGGCAAGTCACTTAAATTCTCAATTCTCTGGGCAGTTGGCTAAGACTGAGTTGCAGATATGGGGCTATCATGCATTGTTAGAAGGGATTTCTTCATCTGGAGTTCCCTCTACAAAATGAAATCATAGAGTCAGTCCCTATTCTTATATGACTAAAATTAAGGCTACAAGATAATAGCAAATTTTGGAATTCAATTTAATTATTTCAATTATTTCATTATGCAGGCTTACTTGCATTACACATTTATATTCCCAGCTGATAAATGGATAATCCACTCAGGCCTGCTTATACATAGGCAGTGTAGTCTAGACTTCTATATCTAGTAGGAGGCAGAGGGATGCAATGGAAAATAAAATAAAACAACAACAACAATAACAAACAGGTTTTCAATCAGAGGAGCCAGGTTAGATTCCTAGCTTTGCCACTTACTACTTAGTTAACCTTTAAGGAAAACTGTTTCCTCCTAGGTAAAATAAAGGGTTGGAACTAGTAGTCCTTGAAGTCTTTTTCAGTTCTATATCTCGAGCCTATGTCTTTCCATCTTCATGTCTATCATCCTAAAAACATCCCTCTCCTACTTCCTTTCCATTCCTCTTCACTTTCCTGGAAAGGCTCAGCCTGAAATTCCCACATTCCCAATTCTCAAGGTTATGGGGCTGAAGTCCCACATGCAAAAATAAGTGTTACTTGCCTACTAGGAAAGGAAAAACAAGATTTCACTATTTGTTACTAACCCTTTAACTTGGCAATTAACTAGCAAGTATTTCATGAGCAACTATGGACCTGATATATATGTAGGGAACAGAATAAAAGAAGATTATGTAGATAGGATCCCTATCCTCAGGAAATTTAAAAACAATCAGGTCAAAAAACAAAACCAAAACAAAAGAGAACAAACAAACAAACAAAAACTTATCAGCCCTAATTGGATACAAAAAAATTCTAAGTACAATCCAAAGACCTAAGGCAGTAGGAGTTTGGGGGTTCCTGTATTGTTAGATATTTTAGGCAGCTAGTGGTACAGGCAATAGAGTTCTGTGCCTGGAGTTAGGAAGACCTAAGTTCAAATCTACCCTCAGATATTTACTAGATGTGTGACCCTGAGCAAGTCACTTAACATATATATATAAAAAACATACCTACCTTTCAGCATTATTGTGAGGATCAATTGAGATAGTATTTGTAAAATGCTTAGCACAGTGCCTGGCACATGACAGGTCCTACAAAAATGCTTCTTCCTTTTTTGTTTCCCTTATATATGCCTCTCATAAGCATCAGAAAGAGTCCTATATTTAGAGTCAGAAAACCTTATATAGAGAAAATAACATTGGACCTACCTCTATACTTGTGATATGACTAAAACATGTCCCTGAATTCAGTACTTATGTTTCAAAGAAAAGATTTCATACAGAATTATTCTTTAGCAAGATTATGAAAACCCTAGTGCCATCTGAGGTATACAATAAATGTATACATGACTGGATAGCTTAGGGAATGGCCAGGTACCAGAAAGCCCTGACATTTACATTTTAGTTAAAAAGCAATATAATTCAAAAGCTCAAATAGCATCCGAAAGCTAACTTATTTCATTCTATCTGCTGATTTAGATTTATCACCTATTATATTTCTCAGGCCACAGTTATGATTAAATGAGGAGGCTGTTCTAGATTGCAACACTTATTTCTGCTGACTATTTAATTTATTGTAGTACAACATTTTTCCTTCGTTCAATAAATCAACCACTTTCTACAGAGAAGAGATGGTTGGTGGTGAATGTCAAATGTAGTTATGGGAGTACACAGAGAGGTAAATGGGGTCAGTGGAATTTTAAAGGGTATGGAGCTAATTTAATGTCAATCATCAAGGTCTGCTGGTAGTAGACATGATATCCACAGTATGTAACATTACAAGGGACTTTAATGATCATTGAGTCATAGGATTTAGTCCAGGCTTTTCATTTATTTTACAGGTGAGAAGACAGAGGCTCTGGGAAACTGACTTCCCATCTGCTTAATGGAAATTAGGACTTGACATGCAAATATTTATTATTTAAGTATGCCAATAGCTATAAAAGAGTCGTTAATAAAATGAAGGATCAATTTATGCTAAGAACACTAAAAATATAGGGT